TGTCTTTCGATCAATTTAGAAGCATCGATTATCGATAACCACCGTGGTAGTCGTGTTAAATTTCCAAATACATCAAAATCTACGGGCTAGTCGTAACTGTTATTAAGTAGGTACATATATCGGTTCTGAGGTGTATCAGTTTCGATTCTTCGATATTATATTGGTTCTATATTGATTCTACAACTATTATTTTCTGATTCTTCATTTCGGTTCTGAAGGAAATGCAAAACCGAAAAAAAACAAAAATTCTAGAACCAATGCCAAAGAATTTCTTGAAATTTCTTACAATTTCTACAACATCTACAATCTCATGAAATACAGAAGCAAACTGCAGAATCAATACAGATATAATATTGGTTCCACAGAACCAGAATCGAAAGCAATACAGCTCAGAACCGATGTACCTAACAACAGTTGTAATTCTATTTCAGTTTTGCATAATTATTTCAAGAACCGGAACCGACATCATAACAGTCTTCAACTCCCGGTCACTTCTCTACGAAGTAATTTTCATTCACGAAGGATTCCTCGTCGGAAATCGGTTCATCGACAATTGGAACAGCAGCGATTCAACGGTCGTTTTGTATTCATTGACAATGGCGACGATCTTTCGGTTTCACTTTTCGATACCCCCGATGCGTTGATCAATGCAATGAACGGCGACTGTTCAGTTGAACATTTCCCCGTGGAGTTTCACGATCATTCCTTTTTCGTTCTACGGCATAAATGTTGGAGTGTAAGTACTGCGTCCTAAAAGCGTGCGAAAAGTGTTAAAAAGAAAACAAGAAAATAAGAAAAAACAGGTCAGTCAACAACGACTTGAAAAGGCGGCCGCTCGAGGTAGGAATTGAAGTATTCGTCGACTAAACGATAGCGCGTCGAGTATCTCCTAAGAGGATGGACAAAGAATCATCTTTATAAGCGACGTTTCGTTTTGATGGAATAAACGTACGTCGAGGTAATCGTGTTAAAAATTGCTGTTGCTGTTCGTTGCACATCGTTCGAACGAAATGGTGTACGTTTACGTGATATTTTATTGAAATATTGCGTTATGAAATTCTTCGAGTTTTAACTCTTCGAGTGCTGAACACTCCCAGCCGAAAACGTTCCGTGTGGACGGAATATTCTTTTTCTTAGCTTGTCATCCGAAGATCAATAAACTATATTAATTCATACAACGCGTAATTAAATTGTAACTGTAATTCTTCGGTTCCGTTAAATTTAATAATGCTAAGAAACGTGTATAATAATGGCATACACTTATAATTGTCATCACCGTACGCATGAGATCAAAAAGACCAAAAGACACATTTAGGCGCCCATAGTCCACACCGATAACATTCGCTGGACGTAAATATGCGTCAACAGCACTCAAAGTGTTAAATGAAAATTTGTGCATTATTCGTTTCTTAAAAGTGTTCGTTTTGCCTAATTGAACGCAGGCATTGTTCTATATACTTCACGCGTAATGTGTAAGTAACTCCATTTTGTATTGTTTTAATAAGGTTGATTAATGGTGTTTCGTTAAGCATTCACACGCGAAACCATACAATCTTTGTAATCCTCGATTATGAAACTGAATTCTTTACACGCGTTCGCATCGATCCTTGCCAATACGAATATTCTTCCGGACTAGAGGGATTAACAGATGAAAAGAGATGTGCTAACATAAAACGAAAATACTGGTTTTTTAACCACGAACCTACGATTTTTATATATTGTGTAGATTTTGTATATAGAGGAGTATTAATCCGACTCTTCGAAAGGGAGGAAAAAAAGGACTTTGATAACTATCTCTATGGATGTTCATTGTGTTCGGCCTAATTTGCCCTTTGCTAAGAGGAGATCCGCCCTTTTTAGGATGCGAGTGTTACCGGCCCGAACAATTTACAGAGAATAAAAAGACTTAGCGAAAATGTACAAAAAACGAATAACAAAACGAACGAAACGGTAAAACAGAGAAGAGATGTAATATTTTCAAGTGAAAGATATTAAAGTAGGAAGGGCGACAGGGCGAAACTTTCATATCGTTCTCATTAAAAGGAATTATTGAGGTGACACCGTTCGTTGTTGTAAATCGAGGGCAATTGAACAGAAAGGAAGAAAGTGTAATCTATAAAGTGAACCTATCATAAGTTTATTCGTACAGCGGATCGTGAAACGATTCGAGCACTTGGGACCGATCATTTTAACGAACGATCGTTGTTAATCACACCGACGTTCTAAGATTATTACTGCGTGTACACCGAGGTGATAGAAATTTAAATGTTCCACAAGCGTTCGAATGCTTTCGCGGCCCCTTGTAGAGAGCGTGTGTTAAATTGTACTTAACAAAAAAAAACTAATGCGCATCGCGTCTCTATAAAATTGTGATCTTTCTCCTTTGAATGTTAGGCTACCGGTTTGTACAGAACGCACACGCACTCGCCACAATCAGTCGACAAACACGTAGGTACGCTGTACAAACTATGAACCGTGCGTAACCGATAAGAATATTTTTTGTACGTAGCTAAATTTCGAAGTAAAAAAAGCGGAAAAAAAAGAACATTTCTCTATATATATACACAAACGTGTATATCTGACTAATTCGTTCCACGATCACCTCCGTTGTACCTACGAGAAATCATGCATGACCCGGAAATGGAGTTCTTCAGAGAAGATTTGATAACGACGAAATTCTCCCCTTCAAGTCGACGAAATTCGGATTCATATCGATTTTGGATGCGTGCATTGCCGAAAATAATCAATGTATCATTTTTGCATGTCCTGGGTGACATTGAATACGATATTATGCTCTCACTCTCCATCTCCTTTTTCTCCTTCTTTCTCCTTATCCTCCGCTCTTTCCACTTTCTCTCTCGCTCTCCTACTTTCTTACATACGTTAATCAACGAGCAATTGCTAACTGCAACTGTTATACTCGGAACAATTACATAGCGCACCAATAATTTAGGCGTTCAAACCTATAATTAGGAAACAAATGTGACTAAAAATTAGTTTCATCGAAAACAATATCGTTCACGGATATCGATCACTGATGTTCGGACAAGATTCATCGAAACCGGAGAATGTATGTAAAAATTATTTTAAACTGTCCTGCAGCCTATTCGAATTTTTTTAACCTTACACTACAGAAAATGTTCAATAATTTTGTATTGATCCTTTGGCAAACGGAGTTTGAGCTGAATTGAGACTATTTCCTTGCGAAATAACTTTCTGAATATCGGAGATTCCTTTCGTCAAAATTAAAAAGAAATTGAATTCTTAGAACTCAGGAAGACTGTAATACACATTATTTGGAAATATTTAAAATTATCTTGGTATCGAAAGAGTAAACTAAAAATTTCCCGAATATACACCTGTAGTAACCCTTAGCGCTCCAGCCGATTTTGTAACCGACCAGCAGCTTCAAGTCATTTATATTGTATCCCTGATGAAAATTTAAAAATGTTATATTATAACATTTCTTAGATGTTTCATTTTCCTTCTTAAGATAAACTTTGCATATACATCAAACGTAATAATCTTAGGGTAGTTTTTTCAATTTTGTTCATTAAAATATTTAGTACTATAAATGGTGTTGTAGGGAGCGCAAAGGGTTAATAAATCGGTCACATGGATAATTTATATATACGCAAGAGATTAATACAAAAAATAACGAAATTTTGGAAAAAATAAAATACAACGACCGAATTTGCAAAAACTAAAAAAACTATACATAGAATTTCTTTTAAAGTACATTAACCATTCGAATACTTTTAACCCGAGCTTTAATGCGTTTCGCAACCAGAAAACGTGAATCTTATTTTTGTTTAATTGCCTGGACATAAAAATTGCATTGCTAACGAACAGCGAAAAATAAAGTGCTAAAATTGAAAATCTGAGGTAATGGGTTTAACCAGATGACACAGTGGAAGAGTTTAAACTATGAAAATCGGTAAAACTGTACCTTCACACATTTTCGAGATAATTGAATCTCTTATTGAAATTGACACGAGCGTATGAGATTAAAAATTCTGGAGTCGAGGGTGAGAGAGATAACTTCAATGTACCTAATCATGTGTCCCTCGAGACTTGTGTATAAATAATGTAGGAGGTACTGGTTCTCGGACGATCTGGATTACTCGAATCGGTATAGTTATTAACACGATCTCTAGGATAGTGTACGTTTATCGGGTAAGCTACGCGTCATGATGTTTAAGTATAGTAACAATATAGATTTTGTATACTGCGTGCGTGAGAATGTAGAAATGAGCATGACAGAGGACAGTGCGTGCGAACGCGCGTTATCAGAATTTATGTTCGACAGGTTAATAAATCGTATTTTCGAAATAAACTGGCTACTTCTTTTTCCCTTTGCAATTTGAAACTTACACCCTTCCCTCCATATACGCGGCACTTTCTTTACGCGAGTTTCTTATTTACGCGGTACGTTAAATGGTGAAAATGAAACTTTTCAAAATACCCCCACCACCAACCATTTCTGAAAAATTTTATTTTTCGTTTTCTCTTACCGTTCTCAAGATAATCCACGGGAAAGAAAAATTTGCATTTTTTCAAAGGGTAATTTCACCCCTTCAAAGTAAAATTCGGTACGAAAAAAATTGCAATGTATTAGACTTGACGTACTCTACCTACAAAGTTTTATCATTTCTTGAATTTCCGAATTTGATAATTTCCCTTGTCAGTGACATTGAATAAAATTTACTCCTGTTTTCTGAAATGTCGTCATTATTTTATTTTTGTTAAACTATGTAAGATAAATATATACTTTTGTAATTGTGGTTTACAATTTAAAAATACATATTGTGTGGAAATATAGTTTGCAATAAAACTGCTATATTTTTAAGTTAAACTAATTAATTCTTGGTTAATATTTATTTACAAGGACAAATTGTTCTATGTATTGTTCTAATAAAATATTTTTAAACCAGTATATTAAATTATCAAATTGCTGGGCTTTAAGTAACCGGAAGTATATAGCGCCAGAAACACGGAAGCAGCGACATCTAAAAACTTTATCTGTCACTATTGTTTATATATTCGTGATTTTGTTTCTAACCAAACTTAATCGTAACAGTTCTATAATGCTTATAAAATGACTCAAGCTTATGATAATTATTATAACGAGTTTCAAAAAAACGTAGAATTGCAGCAGAATTTGAAGTACAAACAAAAATATCGACGATTAAAAAGGATTATAAAAAATACAGTTTTTGTAAGTTTGTGATTATCGATGACAGGCAATGTTTTTTCCTTTCTTTTATGACAACCATTTACAATAATTAAGCTCGCAACCTTAGGAAAATGCTGCACTGTGCGATCAAGTAGCGCAAATGCAAGAGAATCTCACGCTTGTCAAAGAAGAAAGACTTTTTCTATTACGTAAATTATGTCAACAACAAGGGGACATTGATCCCTCTACTATGATAGCTAGATCTCAATCAACTAATATTAATTCCACTTCGTTTAATCCTGAATCTTCTACACCTAAGAAAACCACAAAAAAAAGAGTTTCAACTGATGGGTCAGGTACTTAATTACCATTTTGATTAAGATTCCATTAATGTGGGTAAAATGTTATTCCTAAACTATTTTTTTCAGAAACAAAGAATAAAACTAAGCGGTACAATAAAACTATGCGTAAGGTGGTTCAATTGATACCACTGGATATGCATGGAAGACCCATATTTCCTATCTCCTTAGGTGATCTGACCGTTTATTCTCTTGGGGAAGTAGTATCCGATAGAATTTCTTATCATACAGAAGATCTCATTTATCCAGTAGGTTATTGCAGTACAAGAGTATATGCTAATTTAAGAGATGTAAAAACAAAAAGTTTGTACACATGTAAAATATTAGATGGTGGAACAAGACCAAGGTATAAGATTATATAAGTAAATAATATGTACTTTCTTATAAATATAAAAATTAATTTAAATTGCTTTCAGGTTTGAGATAGTGTCTGATAATGACTTGGATCAACCATTAGTAGGATCCTCTCCCGATGAATGCCATGCAAAATTATTATTAGCAATTTCTCAGACGCTTCGATCAATACCACCAAAGGGTGCTGACTTTTTTGGTATTTCACATCCTACTATTCAAAATCTTATACAAAGTACACCAGGCACACGTAAACTGGCTATCTATAAACAACAACGATTTGAAGTATGTAATTTTTAATTCTACTTATGTGTAATTGAAATTTCAAAATTCAATGTGTTTAATTTCACTTAGGTAAGCAAGAGTCAAATAATGGACAGAGGCTCAAGTCCAATAATGGATGATGAAACAGATCCAGGACTAGGATTTGCAGCTTTACACAGGCATTATCCTTTAGCAAATTCTTATAGAATTAAAGAAGAGCCTTCAGATCATGATCTCCTAACTCTTCAGGAACTACTTGCATAATTTTTGGATTATAATTATAATACTGACGGTAAAAGGTGTTAAACATCAATATGTATATATTGAACGATTTTACAATACATACTTAATAGAATGCAGTGTATAAAACGATTTTATTTTCCATCAATGTAATTTTGCATTGTTCCATTAAACCAATGTACAAATATAATTATACTAATTAGTATTAATATAGTTACTTGGAGAGTGTAATTTTACACTTTATAATTGATATAACATTTAATTATAGTAGTATACAGAACGACATACTTTAAACAAAATTTGCTTTAAAATTAGTGTATAATCAGAGTTGCTATACTTAATATTTTATTTAGTACCATTTCAGTACTCTATGAATAATGTAATTAAATAAACTAACTTGTCTGATCATATAGCTGTTATAGTAAATATTGTCATCACAAGTTACAATATTAGAGTCTCAGAAATGACTAGTCACGGTAAAGTAAAATTCGGCACACCAAAATTATAAAATTCCTTTCATAACCGAAGTGCAATGTTCAAGCTTAATAAATACATAAAAAATATATGTATTAAATCAATATATCTGTGATTTTGTATATATATTCATATGTTAATTTTTTTTTCACTCTTGTTTATATCTTTTTAATAGCTGATAAACTATAAGTATTATATAGTACAAAGCAAAAATATTTGGCTATAAGTTTGTAAAGATTAAATGAAACGGAAAATCCTTATGTGTATGGATGTATAGTACATACACACATAGTTGCAATACTTTATTAAATATTGTATTGAAAAATAAAAATTACTTTCAATTCTGCAAAGTTATATACAGTTTTATGTTATTCATTTAAATCTAATATTCCTTTCTATTTTAATAATTGATAAAAATATATAAAATTTTGAATAGAATTTCCGTCTTTTCTATGTGCCTTGAACAATATTTTTAATCAAATGATAGTCTTGTTTTCAATTATTTTATTAACACAAAAACTGATCAAGTATATGCCTAATGAAAAATAATGAAAATATGTAAAAACCTGAAAAATAGTTTATTGCTACATATTTTTCCAAATTAATATGCAGATTATAATCTTTGTTGTCACCGTCTAGTTGCTGGTCTAATTGTTTTATTGAAAAGTGTGTTTGCAATTGCAATAACTGGTGAAAACAGTTTCAGAGGACAATCACTGAAAGAATAAATTCAGTGTTATAAAATTAAATTATTGAAGCTATGAATTATTTATATATAAGTTGAAAATAAGTACCATACTCCAGTCACAGGTTCCGCTTCGTTTCCACTAACAATAAATAATGGAAATAATATAGAAAAGACACAGCCACTAAAAAAACAATAATTTTAGTGCTAAAAATAATTTTCTAAATTAAAATGTTAAATAATCAATTACCTTATTACATAGGAATTGGGCAATTGGGTAAGTACTGCTAATGGCAGACCAAAACCCACAAAATATGGCCAGTTACTTTCAATGAAACTTAAACGTCTATGTAACTCCCATCCCATATTGAACCATTTATATTCAAAAGTGTACAGAGCATACAAAAGGCACATGTGTATTAGGGCAAGAATGTCACCCACAAGAGGCAATGGAATTCTGGATACTAACATTCCTTGGCCCAAAAACAGTGCTTGAACTAGTATATTGAAAAGTGTGTCTGCTACCAACTTACTGACACTAGACAGAAGTAATGGTCTTCCTTGCCTATATCTATAAGCACTATCTGCTATGTCCTACATGGTTTACAAATATATAGTATTTCTTAATAACTTCTTGAATGGTTACACCCAAATTCGTTCACTCTGAGAGCAAATAATTCATACCTGAAACCATAAACTGTTGACTATCCTACTGAGTAGAAATAGTGGCAGTACCCATACAGTGCCAAATGTTAGCGATAAAAATGGTTTTGTCCATGACCATACAGTCATACCCATACCCGGCGAATGGCCAAATATTATGGTCAATAAGTACTTGAATAAAGGAAGTAGGCCGCATTCAAAGATTAATATGCTCGCCCAAAATACACCACCATTTAATGCACAACACTGAATTGTTCTTTTTAACACTTTTGATTTTCTAAGAATGTAATAAAAAATTTACAATTTATAATTTATAATTTATGCGATCAACTTTTAGAAACTTATCAAGTACAACATACCTTAACTGATTATAATGTTTTACAGAATTATGCATAAGTGTAATGTCTTTTCCATGAATCTCCGCTCTAGATGGGGATTGCTTATACAGTTTTTCATTAATACGTCTATCCATATAAAATAGGACAACTGCACCCCTTAAGCTGTCAACCAACCCCTTATACATGGCACGTATTATTCCCTAAAATAAAAAAGCGAATTTATCATTGTTATTGCCTTCATTATACCAACCTAATAAATAATTGTTTAAATCGTTAAATTACAAATATTTATCTTAAAGAGAACAGTTCAAGAAATATAATTGAAACGTTTGTATACAATACATACTTCAATAATCTTTAATATAAAAAAATACATCAACAATTAAAATGATTGTTAGGTTGGAAACCCATGATGTTTTTATTAGGGGTGAAACTTGTTACTTACTGTCACGTTATCCATATTTTACAACAACATCCACAACAGGATACAATTAATCTATACTCCAAATATGCTGAGCGATCTGCCAAAAAAACATATTCGGAGTAACATAACTGTCACCATCGAAACAATGCTAAAGTACATCGAGTAAGTGAGTAAGAAAAAAATATTTACGAGGATGATGCGGATACGAAGTTTTTCGACACCTCGAACATGTACATATTGTCATTCAATATTTTAATAATATTTAGTAAATATAAATCTTTTCCCATGAAACATACAAGTACTAGCAACCAGCAAATTTAATGCAATTCTTAATATAACATTCATCGAATGAACTCTTTTTACGAAATCGCATCAGCTGATTGGTATTCGTTGTAGGCAAAGGTCAATAGTGTGTTAATAGGTGTAAAGGTCACTAAGAATGAGAAATAATATCATTTAATGCATAATTCGTTGTTGACCAAGTTGTACAAAAAGGCACAATAGAAAAATTTGTTTCTTACAAAATAATTAGCGTCAAATGAAGTACTTCAATAATATCCCATTCAAGGTACATATATATTTTAATATGTATACACTATACATTGAATGATATTCTTCATCCGTTTTACGAAACAAATACGGCAAAAATATCAGAATAGTACTAATAAAGAATGAACGATACTAAGTCGAGTCACGGTTAATTTAACGTAATTTGTAACCTTATCTTATTACTATTTTCATAAAAGAAATAATTTATATTTTCTTTAATTTACTAAGTAACTACGAAGAATAGTAATATAGAATCTAAATATTAAACATAATACAACAACTGATACAACGCAGTTACAATTTCTCTGAGGAAATAATAATAACATAACGTAAAAAAATACTCAAATATTAAGTAGTTGAAATGTAAATAATTTTCTTTCATTTATTTAATATATATTTAATATTACACAAGTTTTATGTATCAATGATGATATGACTTGATTGTATAATAAATAAATGATGTTTACAGAATCTATAACAAATTTATACATTTTCTATATATAATTATTATTTTCTTTCCTTCACATTTTACTAATACATATTTTGAGTCAGTGTGAACTCTCGCGACCTAAGTTAACAATCTTATCGATCGAGAAAATTAAAATTCATAGTGTCTTCTTCTGATAAACATAAATAACTTGTAAATAATTTCCAATATGCATCATGTCTAAAAACATTCATTTATTGTAGCATTTGTGGCGGTCGACGCGGACAGCCACGAGTGTAGCGCAGCAGCGCGGACCGTGGAGAGAGTCGGTCGTCCGTCGATCGTCAGTTGTCTCCAGCATGGATACCAAAAAATGTATAAAAGGACGGGTCCACGCTGGACGATAGTTAGTGTGTGTAAATCTATAAGCGCAGCATTATGCGCCCCACACATTATTAATGTTTAAATTTTTAACTCTTGAAATATTTTGTATTTTCAAATTTTAATTTTTCTGAGATATATAATAATTGAAAGATTTAATATAGTTACCAACATAAAACAAATCTCATGTACAAAGGTAACAATAAGATTTTGCTAAAATAAATTTTTCAAAAATTATATTATTAAGTAAAATACAAATGTATTATTTTCAGTTAACAAATTATTTATTTATATTTAAATAATATATTATAAAAGAAACTAATTAACTCAAGTAATATTCTTTGAGATGTTGAGATGTTGGCTTAAGAATTGCTTCATCTTTAAGACTAACAACCCAACCGGGTTCAAGGCCATAGAATATCTGTCTTGGATCTTTACGCTGTGTAAGCATTTCATAGTCTGGATCATCTTCAATTTTTGGAAGTACATAACCATATTTTTGAGATAAAACCAGTCGTTCCTTAGAAATTTCCTCAGGATTTGCTAAATACCCTCTCGTTGCTGCACTTGAATAGTACTCCAAACAGTCTGTTGGTGGTAAGAATCTACGAGGTATAGGTACTCCTAAATTAATAAAGCTTTAATTATAATACTGTTCAAAACAAAATCATCCAAACACTGATCTAAAAATACAATAAAAAATTTACCCTTTGTAAAAAACTTATCTACATCGTGTAATGCACATATGGAAAAGGGATCATAATATGCTGTAACTATAGTACCACCATTTCTTTCAATTGCAGCAATTACTGGTTCACTAGCCCATTGAACTTCTATGTTTACTTTAGCTTTAAATTCATCAGCTCCCTCAAAAGTAATTTTGGTTAAATCAATAATTGTTTTTCATATAAAAATAATTATTAATAATATATTAATAAAATGGAGCAAAATCAAATACCTCATCTGTAAGATGAACGCCTGCATGTTTATGTTCTAACTTAAAATTATATAATCCTGTATTAATTAAAGATACAAGATCTATAGGTTTAGATCTATCTATCCTATTTGTGTCAATATATAACTGCAGTTGATTTAAAGATAAAGGTGGGTATTCCCTTCTTAAGCTATAATAGATACCAAAATATTACATTATTAAATGTTAAAAGAATAAGAATTGTTTCTAAATTAGAAGTAGCTTAACCCATTTGCATTGTTTTGAAATTCTATAATTAATTAGTAATATAGGAGAATAATAAATATTTAAACCACAATAAATTATAATTAACTTAATAAAATAAGTATTTACATGTAATCTGTCACACATATTCTGATCTTTATGATATAGGACAAGTTATACAATTAGAACAATGATTTAAATGAATTAACTGGTATTAAATATAAGATTTAAATATTAAGAAAGATTTAATCACAAAATAAATGAATAACTTACTGATGCCCCTTGTAGTATGGTTCCCAACCAAATCTAAGATAAAATGGGGTGTTTCCAGTCTCATATCCAAGACGCATATAATTCTGCCTTTGACCAGAACCTTTATTACCTGCTCCATGTTTATCTCCACCGTGTTGTCCTCGACCACGCTGTGGCTGTTAAAAAAATATCCAGTATCATGTTCATGATATTAACGTATAATAATTAATATAAAAAAATACATACTGGTTTTCTTGCACCTGGATTGTCTCGAATATTATTTAAAGTAAGTCTTGGTAATACTCGCATTAATGATAACGCCAAATCTCTTCCATGTTTTCCATTCATTATTTTAGTAATATAACTACTCCGTTTAAACTTTCATATACTTCTTTGTAACAATAATTTTATTTGTTTATTTACCACTACTTCAGTAGTATTTTGAAGAATATAACCTTAATACTAAACTCCTTGATATTATAGGTTGGTTCTCATGTGTTATGTATTCGTTACTTTCTTAAATTGCCCTTTAGGAACACGATAAAATTGCAACGTAGCTTGAATATTTTTGAACATATATGTCAGCATTTACCTAAGTTTTAATATGAATTACAATATTTATTTCATGTTGTCAGTATTGAAAAATATAAAAGTTAATATTAAATGGTATTATATATTTGTGTTTTAAAATATTATTACATGTGTACCATAAACTCTATCAATTTGTATTTGTATCTTGTATGGTACACCATCTAGAAATACGTGATCAATGACCGCGCACACGTCTGTGAAAAGACGTTTGGTTACCCTTTTCGTTCAATGCGTTGTTGAGAGCGGATCGGTTGTTAGAATCCGTTGTAATCTGCAACGTAAAGTATCGTAAAATATTTCCAAGATGACTGAAACTCTTCAACTAAGGGGTACACTTCGGGGCCATAATGGATGGGTCACGCAAATTGCAACAAATCCAAAATATCCGGACATGATATTGTCTTCTTCACGTGGTAAGTTCAGTAACATACATTTACTTTCCAAAATTCTTTTTTCTCGAATATATGCATTCATTATTTACTGTAGTACTGTTTGTTTTGATTTTGTAAGAAACATTTAATCTTGGAATATATTTTTAATTAAATTTATAGTTATACATGTATAAATTTACATTACTTTCGTTATGTTTGGGTATTCTTGACCGATAAAGGAAGGACTGCAGTTGTTCAATTTCGATACAGGTTTTTTTGAAATAATAATGTACATGTTCTTAAAGATATGTATAAAATATTAAGTGTAATTACTTGATAATTTATAGAATATAAATAGAAAGTTATGCATCTTTAAGATATAAAAGTATAAATGAAAGTATAATCAAAGTTGCAGTAACAAAATATGAGATGGTTATATAGTAAAGTGCGAGCTCTAAGTTCGATTTTCATTAACCGAAATATTTTTTTCTTTACAATTTTATTATAGTTATAACGACACAATGCCGGATAATAATTGTTGTACGCATGATAAAAATAATAAGTATTTCTTATTCAATATTTAATAATTTTAAAAATACTAATATAACACTGAAATTTAATTATAAGAACGAATGTAAAAGTTTCAACTAAATATTTTATTTGAATTTAAATAATTTTAAAAAAATTCCTTTTCTTTCACCTTTTGTATTTTGTAAAACTCCCAGAAATTGGAAATACACAGTTGAGTTTCTTTCCCTGTAAGATAATTGTAAAATTTTCATTACTACTTGTATTAATTACAAAGGTTTTAATATCACGATTTTGTGTATGTTATTTATAGATAAAACTCTAATTGTATGGAAATTGACACGCGATGAAGCCAATTACGGTATTCCACAAAAACGCTTGTATGGTCACTCTCATTTTATTAGTGACGTAGTACTATCTTCTGATGGTAACTATGCTCTATCTGGTTCATGGGACAAAACATTGCGTCTCTGGGACTTGGCTGCAGGTCGTACTACACGAAGGTTCGAAGACCATACCAAGGTGTGACTTTTTCTGGTCTACAATTGTCATTCATCGTGATAAAAACGGAAGCTTTT